ACTTACAAAACACTGATTTCGTTAAACCGTTTCTGAGAAAATTAGAAAACAATTTTCTGTTCTTTGAAAAGGAATAATTGTAATCTTTAGTATTCAGCCAGTGTAACAAATTCTTAAATAGATTATTGTATTGTATTATTCTTTTATTGAAACGTAACAAAAACTGCTGTTGCCTTCTATTTGTGATGTCCAAAATGAATTTTTCATATAAAGTTTTCTAACTAAAATGTTTAATAAGTATAAACTAAATATAGCTTAATGTTAAAACATAAGTTGTTGTATTATAAGATTTTCGTTTGTACATGTTACATTAGTACACAAATGGTTGTTAACTATGTCCTCAATATTTCAGCGCGCACTACAAACTTCAACTAAGTTCATTTCCGTGTACGAGATCATATCCCGTACTCACTTAAATTATTAACATAGTTTGAAAGCCCTCTGTGTAACTGGAACTTTATTGTCATTAAAACAAATAGAATTACTCTTTGACGTCAAATATAAAAATACTTGCATTTTTATACTGATTTTTACAAATAATAAGCCTTTTGTGTTAATCACCATATAATTTTATTCGTTTTGTGTGAAGATAAGGTCGTCATCATCATCAGCCTATCAGAGCCGACTGCTGAGCAAAGGTCTCTTTCTCACATGGAGAAGATTTGAGCATTAATCACCACGCTTGCTCAAGACGGGTGGTGATTTGAAACTTACAAATGTCAAACTACAGTCCAGGTTTCCTCACGATGTTTTTCTTCACTGTCTGTCAGTGGTGTCTAAATATTATTAGAAAGTACATATGACTCGTAAAAATCACATTGGTACTTGCCAGGAACGAACCCGAACCCTCGTGCATGAGAGACGAGCTCTTTAACCCCTAGGCTACCACTGACTAAGATAAGGTATTGCTTTATTTGATTTAATATAAAGTTAAAAATGTATTAAGACTTTGTGTACTTCAAATAGTCAGGTTTCTTAACTAAACTTACGCGAACAAATAATTAACTAGAATCTTTAGTGTTAATTAATTTACATTTAAACAAACTTATTAAAGTATATGAATATTTAAAGTACTTTCACATTGCTTAAAAGCATTTATTTTTATGCAACAAAATACGATAATAATTACAACATAATTAAATTCATCTACTATATAAAGCATTTTATCGTAATATGTTGCATTTTTCTATGAAATAGAAATAGCAAATTTGCAATACTTTGTAAGTGCTCTAAATATAAGGCATAAAATACATATACTACAGTTGGGTCCCTCAATATAAACAATTCTTGAAATTCCTCACGGGTCCCATTACTTTCATGAAGACGGTTTCAGCGACTTTAATATCCTCTAAGGGTGAGCATGTTCAATCCTGGCTGAATTATAAATGTATGTCTTCTCTTTATCACCCGATTTCTTAATCCATTGTAATATTAAAACTTAAGTATCAAAACTTTAAGTAGTTTTATATGACTATTATCGTAATAAGAAAGAAAACATAAATTTGTTGCCCGTTATAAGACATCTTTTAAATGAACCTGAGTGCTTCTTAGTAGTTAGTAAGATTAGTTATTAATAAGATTTTGAATTTAGTGATATATTTGTCTGCTAATATAATGGCTATATATTGATTATAGTAAACACCGCTACTATAAAACTCCACTAATACTGGCTCACCAGTCGCCAACTACATAGTTAGGGCTAGAGATGGTAGAGCCTAGCTGCCATTAAGTAACTGCAGCTCGAAAATGTGTTGAGTCTACTGAGCATGTACCACCTTCAAGAAAGTGAGAGATACGATTGGCTTTTCCTTATTCCCACCCATTCGTCTCCTGGAATGTTCATGTCACAAGATTCTGTCCTTCATCAGCAAAAGTCCGTTTTTATGTGTATTAGAACATCGGCCTCCTTCCATTATTTCTTTCATCTCAAGGCCGTACAGCATTTGACGGTAACTACTTCCCATGTAGGTCGTCTGGTCGTTTTACCTTATAAAAAGGACAATCCGGACAATGGTTTAAGTTCATTGAAGGTTTATGATAACGCTAAAAGCCACGCTTTATATCAATTCGTCAATTAAATTGATGAAATGAACTGTATTCTCTCCGATTCCGAACATGCTTTCTACTTCCACTTATTTGCTTTCAAGCCTCCATACCACAATGGACCTTGCTCCAACAAATTTCGACAAAGAGAATCAATTCATATTATTTTCAATTCAATTTATTGAAATTAATTTTCTGGTTACCTATAAAACGACGTAATTACACAGAATTATTTAGGTAAAATGGATTATAAATGTACTACATTACATTTTGTTTTTGTTACTACAATACAGTACATTTAATAGAAAAATACTTGTATACTTTTGCGGAATATAAGTATGTAGGTAATATTGTAAGAACCTAATACTACTTTTAGCTCAATCATTCTCAGCCTTAGATCTCTGTTTTATGATACATAATAAACGATCTGAGAAATTCTAACATTGATTGAGTAATTATCCGAGATTGTTATCATTTGTCAACGTCTGTAACACGTGTAATAATAATTTGTCAGCATCTGTGCTATTTTTGTTAATATATTTTATACTATACTTACTGTTTATATTTTCTTAATTTTGTTACATAGAAATCTTCTTTTACTTTTTATTAGTTAAATATTCTATTGTATATCTTTTTGTAATAATCCCTCAAGTCTATCGCCGTGTGTTACCGTGTTGTTCTCGACCTTCCAGGTCACCTCATATGCAGTCAAGATTTTATTGATTCTAATACATCGCTATTTGCAGTAGGTACCGTATTCCAACACGACTGTCCAATTGCTATAAAGTATTTCAATGTTATTAACTACAATATTCTATTTGGTGACCTGAATTTCATTTCTGAATTGGACCTTATACTATCGATCTTCTCTGAAAAGTTTAAAATTTTGTTCAGTCTTTTACCTTCAAAAGATGGTTTATCATTCTACTCTTTTATAGAATATAATTCTATTCCAAATTTTTTTTGGTTATGACTACTTACTTTAGTGAGATATAAAAATATTTGTCCTCACAAATTATGATAATGCGAAAAACAAGTCATAAAATACACTTCCAGCACTAACACTCTTTAAATACGTGATATTATTTGTTCACGTGTTGACGTTATAACTTTTGTTTTTCATTCATAGCTGTTTCTAAAAAATTTAATAAAACACAATTATCCTATTGTTTACTGTACCTCTAAATCCTTGAGCTGAAAATTTTGTTTGTAAGCATAAAATAAAAAATTGAAGCTAGAAAACCAGAGTCAACAAGCAAATATCCCCCTAAAATTAATGGTTTTAACCATTTAATAATTAAGAAAAGCTGAGTAAATAATGTAACTAACATATTACTAAGTCACTTTATCGAATAAATGAAAGAGAAGTGAATTATTTCAATAAAATATTCTATAATTTTCCAACGCATTTTTCGATACTTTTTCTGTTTAATATGTTAAGTATAATATAGTAAGTTTTACTGAAACTTGATCCATAAATTAAAAAAATAATAATCACTATCATTATTATATAAGTATTTTAATATAATTAAAATATGAGATAACACCCTAGAATTATAATTGAAGTTGAAAAAATAACAAATACTTAGTACAATAAGAATTCTATTAACTTAACCAAAATTAAAATGCCAAAACAAACAAATCTTAATATAACCAAAAGCTATAAACATTATTATAGAAAAGTTGTTTAATGCCTCTTGATTTTATGCCTCTTGACAAATTTTATTAATATCGAAACAAAACCAAAAGAATAGGCAACATTACTTTGAAGGTCAAATATTTTCCTTTTGCATTTTTTTAATTTATTCATCAGACTATATCCTAAAACAAACTTTCCTTTTTTCTGTTCAACTGTTCTCTAATAAACAATATATTAATGGCAACTCTAATCCCATGTAATGACAATATATCAAACGTCATTAACGTCAGATATGAATGCTTTTGCAGTCGGCCACGGGGCCGGCATACTGGTGTAAGCTGAAATCTATTTCTATTATTGCATCATTCTGTATCCATACACATTAAGGTGAGTTCGTATCAATACTTTTAATTTATCTCAAAATAATGTCTTAATATCACATGTTCAGTTATCCATATAACAGAGTTAAATTAATTATTGTCGTGTGCGATATTGTATTAGAATTTGAATGGGTGATAATGATTTTTCGTGATATTACTGCCTTAAACTGAGCGGTAAAACAACACATGAACAGATTTTAAAAATCATTTAGTTTTGAAAACTTAGTTGATATTTATTAATTTCAATTATAAATGTAAAGCTTGTTTTATATCTTGTTAAATTGACTTCAATAATAGTAACTTGTAAACAGCCGTTTATTTTTAATGAAGAATTAAATACTTAATGGTCAAAGTTTCTAGGTTGCGTTCTTAATTAGCGGTATAATTTATTAAAATTTTGCGATCTACATTCATATTGTGTAATTCTATGCACTTAAATGTTAATTTCTTCTTTTATTATATGCTCAGTCTTTAAAAAGTTAGACGAACAGACAAATTTACAATCAAACTTTCATTATCAATCCCATCAATAAGAAACATAATATGATACTAATAATAACTTATTAGGATTTTTTTATATTAATTTTATTATGTTTTCCTCAAAGATTTCCGCAATACACTGTCTAGGTACTCTAAGAATTAGAATTTCATGCCGCGATTTCACGCGCCTTTCAAACAAATTACAATAAATATTAACTAAAGAACAAAACTTATTTAATATCTATATTAATATGCCCTTTGTGATTGTCATGTAATTTTGTGTCATATAAATAATATGCAAGGCAATGAAATCTCCCAATCTAACTGACAATTCATACTGACTTCCTTATTTATTTCCCGAGGGGTCCTTTCAAAGAGGAATCTTATTGGAAATTCTTTATTATATAATCGTCATCCCATGGTCCTTATGAAAACAAAAAAATACATTTTTGCAGAAAATGTGCGGGATTTGGGCTACATTCGGCATCAATGGAGTTGCAAACTTCAAGTGCGTTGAATGTTTGTTTAAAATCGTTCATCGCGGACCTGATGCTTGGCGAATCGAACAAGATGCCAGAGAACCAAATATAATTCTCGGCTTCCAAAGACTTGCGATCGTTGATGGCCTTTATGGAATGCAGCCAATGCGGCTGCATCAGTACCCTCGAATATCACTCATATGCAATGGAGAAATATACAACTATAGGCGACTAAAGGAAGAACACAACTTCTCATATGAAACTAACTGTGATGTTGAAGCCATTATTCATCTTTATCAGCAATTCGGTATCGCCCAGGCCGTAAAATCTCTTGATGGAGTGTTCGCGTTTTGTTTGGTAGACGGCGAAAAAAGGAAAGTGTATATCGCTAGAGATCCATATGGAGTAAGGCCACTGTTTAAATTGCATGACAAAATAAATTCATTTATGGCGATTTGTTCGGAAGCGAAAGGCTTAGTAGACCTACGAAAAATAAGCGATGAAACAGCATCATTAGGACAATTTCCGCCAGGATACTTCGAAGTATATGATATATTGGACGAAGGAAAAGTTAAACTTAACGTTACAGAGCAATATTATAAACCTGGTTCTGCTCCATTCTTTATGCCATACGTTCCGAAAGATCAGCTTGCAAAACTTGATGATTACGAAAAAACTGCACATTTATTAGAGGCTGCTTGTAGAAAGAGACTTATGTCAGATAGACGAATAGGTTGCCTTCTGAGCGGTGGTTTGGATTCATCCCTTATAACAGCCCTGGTTATGAAGCTAGCAAAGGAATGTAAATTACCATACAAAATTCAAACCTTTGCTATAGGTATGGGGAATTCTCCGGACTTGGTAGCAGCACGAAAAGTAGCGGAATACCTCGGAACTGAACATCATGAAGTCATTTTTGATGAGAACGACGTCGAAAAAGAACTGGATAATGTTATATATCACTTAGAAAGCTACGACATTACAACCATTAGGGCCAGTATGCCGATGTACCTACTTGCTAAGTACATAAAGAATAATACAAACACCACCGTTGTATTTAGCGGTGAAGGTGCAGATGAACTAGCGCAAGGATATATTTACTTCCGAGATGCACCAGATTCGAGCCTCGCTCACGAAGAAAGCATCCGCTTATTATCAGATATTTATTTGTATGATGGGCTGCGAGCAGATCGGACAACGAGTGCGTTTTGCTTGGAACTAAGAGTGCCATTTTTGGACATACAATTTACTAACCACTATCTTAATTTAGATCCTGAATTGAGAAGACCGCAAAATGGCGTTGAAAAGTATTTTCTGCGTAAAAGTTTTGCAAATAGCGGACTTTTACCTGATTCGATTTTGTGGAGACACAAAGAGGCATTTAGTGACGGAGTGGCTTCCGTGAAGAAATCATTATTCACAACCATTCAAGAGATAATAGAAGAACGTTTACCGAAAAACGCCAACTTCAAGTACCCAGGTGTACAACCAACTACTTCGGAGTCTCTTTACTACCGATACATTTTTGAAAAGACTTTCTCCGGTTTACATAACTTCACGCCCTATTATTGGATGCCCAAGTGGGTACAAGTATCAGACCCTTCAGCCAGATTCATTAAACATTACGCTGCCAAAGAATAAAATCATAAGTTTCAGTAATGTAATGTATGGAAACAAAGATCTTTATAAAACTACACACTCTGTTAAATAATGTAATTTTTTATTTTTTGAGTTCAAATATTTTAAATGTTAAAAAAACGACATTATCCTGACACTATTTCAATATTATTTCCAATATAACAGTTTTGTATTCAGATACAATATTTTGAAAAACACAGTAAATAAATGTATGCATTTATTATATTTAAGTTTAACTAAAATATTTGTTTTATTTATATTGTTATGCTACAAAATAAATTGAATATTGTTAATTATAAATTCGATATCTATAGTAAAAAATATTGCCTTCACAATGTATTAGGACCTTAACTACTGTTCAAGACTATACCTTAAAAAGCAATAAATGGCGCTTGAAATAAAATTACATTGAAGACAGTTTATATGTAAACCAGTGCTACTTAAACAAGACGCAACATGTTAGATAATTTTACTCCATACAATCTAAAAGGGGTGGTCTTATAGAATTAATGAAGTTTTCCATACATAAACATGTCCCATGGTGTTTTTCTTTATGTTCTATTGTGTCTTGTGCAAATGTCACTTGGTTATGTCGTCTCAGACTGGGCACAGGGTATACAGATATGTCGGTAGAGTATTCGGTAATTGTATCACAAAATGTGACATAAGATGGCGTTGGTGAGAACTTGCATGTCATAGATGTAGTTTTTTCCAAGCTCAAGACCTTTTTCTCTGTCGATTTGTCAGAAGTAAACATTTTCTGATTTGTTTCTAGTTCTTCATCTTTTAAAATTTTAGGCTTCTCTTTTTGCATGAGATGAAAAACCATAGAGCATCCTGGGCAAAAAGTACTTTCTGTATTACTGCAATTCCTGTTTTTCGTTGGTATATTGGACAGAGAGGATTTTATATCATATATTTGGGTTTCTTTATTTTCGTGTGAAGCTATAGCTTGCATTGATCTTTCATTTGCAAGACAAATTTTACATTTGCAGGAATTATTAGCTATTTGGTCTTTCAGTCTTCTTAGTTCAACTGGTTCCGAGCTACAACTCGAAATTGGTGATATTACCTGCCACATTTTGAATAGATTACATTTTAACAACAATATTGATACACTATATCATTTTTATTATTTCCAATTCACATCATATTGCTTAAATTGTTGAATTTTACATTGTAACTATGTTAGATGATAAAATCTTTAAAATAACATTGTGTGCAAATGACAAATAAAATTAAAATTGTCATTCCCGAATGTTAAAGTATTTAGAGTTCACAAAAAATGAAAACAGTTTCTATGTAATAATATATTATTTATAGAATTTTTCCTCTATTTATACTAAGCTAAACGAAAAATAAGAATATCAAATTAATTAATTTATACATATACAAACTTCTAGCCCTAAGAAATATTCCATTACATTAAATTTCAAAAACAACTGGTATAAAGCATTCTAGTGACATTCACTTAAAACGTGACACTTGAACAAATATGTGATAACTAACGAAATTGTCTTAAAACAATAAATTTGTCAGCATGTAGTTAACTGTTATCTACAAAATTCGTGACTCATAAACAGTATATAATCATATAGCCGAAAAAATGAAAAGAAGTGCAGATTCTGGAAGTAAATCGTCACACTCTAAGGTAATTTCATTAATCAATTTCAACTGTTAGTTTTCATGACTTAGATATATATTTTTTTACAGAACAAAAAGAAGTGTGGAAAGGCGGAATGTTCTAAAAATAGGAAAAAGGTTGAGCTAGATGGAACTCAAAGACCAAGTTTGCTTAACGTTTTGAAAGATCATCAGGATTGTAACTGCGAAGTGGTCGCAAGAGCTGTGACATCCAACGTCCATATGAATTTAGGTTTAACAGAAAACAGACGTCATTCCAGGGACACGAATTTGAAGGTTTTAAAAAAAAACTAATTCAGCATTGACAACTTTAATAAAACATTGTAAAATATTCCTCTCATTTGGGTAACATAAATTTAATTTGATACAGTTGCGATTTTAATCAATTTCATGGAAGCAAACAGTTAGTAAGTAGCTTTCAAATCTATGAGTGCTTTGAATTTATTTGCCATATAGTTCCAATATTTTGTTCTAATTTTGTCATATTTATCAGCGAGTGCCTTACAAAGCTCTAGGGCCCGTTCTGGTCCATACATAAGACTTGCCTCTCCTTTCTTTATAACTTCATCACAGATATCAATAATGAATGCCAATAGGTAAGGCGAATGGCATCTATTCTTAAATAAATCTTCACAAAATGACAGCACCACGGCATTACCACTTAGACCTCTTTTGTCATGTAATAAGACACCTCTCAAATAATTCCAGGCGCTCTCATTGTTTTTGATGAATCTGATTTTTTCTAAAGTATAACATATCTCTTTCTGTACATTAAGATCTGACCATCCTAAATGATTGTTCATAACAAAGTAGCGTTGGTTCCAAGCTGAATTGTTGCGGACATCTTCTGATATAAGATTGTCGACAAACTCTAGTTCATTATCAAATAGTCTGAAAATAGGAGAGTTAATAGTTCATTAATATAATTATATTATTTTTATTCTAACTAGAATGATAATCTGTTTAACCTCAGTCTGTGTTAATTTTGTTAGCATTTTGACTGAAAAAATTGCACTGAATTTTAAATCTTACTTATTAAAGCCTAATCATACCAGTTTTGATATTATTACAAAATAAAAACAATAGAGACTTATGACAGGTTTAAATTACATATTCTATGTAGATTAAATGTCATTTTTATATTTACTTTTAAAAGAAACCTTTTTTTTAACAAACAACAAAAATAAAACGAATTGAATGAAAAGAAAGCATCACATACGTAACGGTGTCTAAGCATTAAAAATCTATTTAGTTTGGATATAATCAAATTCTTTAAAAATTAAAATGTATCCTTAACTTGCTTATATAAGTAGGCAAAATAGTACTTTTTGCTTCAGTTTTTAATTACATAAAAGAATATAACTATATCACCCAAAATGAAACTAATATTTTTCGGATCATACTACGATCTACGCGACATAATTTACTAAAAAACTACATACATCTCGTCTGCCCGTGATCACGGATGCTGAAAAGTAGCCGAAACGTCGAAAGTATGCAGTTTTTTACGAAAATAAAGTACCGTAGTGCAATCCGAAAAATGTTAGTTACATTTAAATGAATAAAACTCACGAAAATCATAGATCTCATTATATTACCCAAAAGTTTTGATCGCCCACTGTCGATGTTGCCATGCGTGATAATTCTTAGGATCTGATATTAGAGTGTCTCCCGTCAAATCCAATTCTTGGGAAGGATCTTGGAGCCATTCAACCAACACTCTTCTGTGATGCCACACCTTTAAAAAAGATAATAGTCCAATACTATTTGGAAATAAATTTAATATGGATTATCATGAATTAGTCACAAGTATTCATGTATTGGATTTAAATTTGAGAATTAAATGTAACATAAGTTTGTTGGTTTATCATAACAGATAATAAATATCATAAGCATAATAAGAACAAACTTTATTACAACTAAATAACATATAAGTACATAATATAAAAGCTGAAATTGGACAATTATGCTCAAACCTTAGAGGAAAATATTCTGTTTGTATTTTTTTAAGGTTGGCAAGGATATATCCCAAAGGTACATTTAGAGTTATAACTTAAAAATTTGAGACTCCTAGTAAATTATTTACAAGATAAGACAACAAATATTTAAAAAAATGCAGTAATATGTTTAAAATAGCCAAACAAATTAAGTCAAAAACAAAATTTCATTGAGATTATTAAAGGTTCTGGAGATGTCATCATGAGATAAAATGGAAAACCCCAGAGCCTTGTAATACATTTTGTCCAATCATTCTCGAAAAAATGCAGAAGGTATGGATATTGATTGTCTACAAAAAGTCAATATTGTTTAAAACATTTAATACATCCATGAAGAAGTATATATCCCTCCTACTAATGTCTGTTTGTCTGTTACGCTTTCACGCCTAAACCACTTAACTGATTTTAATAAAATTTGGTACAGAGATAGAGTTGACCTTCAGAAAGAATGTAGGATAGTTTTTATTCTAGACTTTTGAAAGGTTCTCTTTGAAACGCGATATAACCGAACTCCACGCGGACGAAGCTGCGGGCGGAAAGCTAGTATTACATAAACATGACAGTTCCCATTAAAAATTTAAAGTTAATATAGTTAATTTAAATAATAGTTAAACAACTGCAGTACCTGATAATTCTTTGGAGACTGTTTTATGACACATTCCACATAATACAACTCTGATCTTAAATCTGTGTCTAATTCTTTGAGCAGATCTCTCCTGAAAAGTAAAATAACACTTGTTTAATCATAACACTTTGAATTTTATAATCTTTGCCAAATACAGAGAAATACTATGATACAACATTTACTTATTTATTGTAAAAAAATCTTTTAACAAGTTCTTTTTTAAGAGTCATTGACACACATATTTATGGCATTAACATTTTTTTGAAATATTATAATATGTACTTATAAAATAAAGTGAAATTAACATAAAATATAAAATTTAATCTCAAATATATCCTGATAAAAACAAATGGAAGAAATATCCAATAATTTATCAATATTTTCATCCCACCATTCATTTAAATTTCTATTTAAATTTTTAGCTTAATATTTCTATAATCTTATAATATAATAAGATCCAAGACTTTCACGAGTATTCATTTAATAAGAAATTAATATGTTGGATTACTACAAGCTATTTTATTATTTTTAAAACTTCTTACTCCCAATGTTTTGGTTATTTTGTAGCAATCTACGTCGGCAGACAAAGTGTCATTTAATACTAATAAAATAATATGTATTGACCTAAAAATATTAGTTTCATCTTAAAAAATAATTTCGGGAATTAACAATATTTTTGAATATAAGATCAATCACAGAAATCTGTGTCATGTAAATGTTGACCAACCTATATTGCCACACGGTATAATTTGCTGGGTTGAGTTCTACGGCATCCTTTGTGAGATGTAATGCTCGCTCAGATTTTTCATTCTTCTGTAACACTGCTCTGAAGTAATCATAGACATCTTTGACTGGAAACATAAATCAGATTGGATTATTATCGAGAAAGCAATAAACACATTTTTTACATTGTAAAAGCATTACTTTATGATATTTGTGTAAGAAACTATCAAATGGAAATAAATTTATTAAATATGACTGTTATTATATATATATATATATATATATATATATATATTATATACAGGGTGACTGGTGAATTAGTATCGATATTTGAGGACGTGATATTTGACGATCATATATGACCAAATAAAAATTAATATAACATAAATATTAATAAACTTCTAAGTAAAGTTAACCAAAAGTTATGTAATTAATTACGCATCGTGTGAACACCCTACAGATTAGGTATACACTGACACTCACACATACGCATGTCGTGACGTAGTGTTGTATCAACACGTCGCCGCACGCGTCCACACTTGAACACTTGGAACGTGTCAACACTTTACTTATTTATACAGAAATTTTGTCAAAAATTAAGTGCCTATTTTTTTTACATAATTCGAATGAGAATCATGTACCCAGTATGCTCCTTAAATATTGATAGTAATTCACCAGTCACCCTGTATATGTATATATATATATATATGTGTACACAAAAAAATTAAAATGTACACTTATTATAAACACATTAAAAATACTAAAAAGAAGACTAAGTTAATATATGTCAGCGACAGACTTAAATAATCAAATAGGTGTGATGAAAGTAATTATAAAATATCTTAATATCTAAGCCTATATTTTTTATTACTGAGATAATTTTAAAGCCTATCTATAAAACATGAGTTAGAGACCTTGTTTTTGAGATTAATGAGTTGTTTACTAAGCAACTGTAACTCAGCATTTTAATTAAGACTATCATATTATTATGGGTCAGAAAATGTATTATAAAAATATATAAAATAAAACTGAGCTTTATTACTTTATTTTAAATAAAATTTAAACAGAAGTTGCATTTTTGTATTGAAAATTCATTGACAAGAAGATTTGAATCTGCAATAACCTAAGTATAGCGTTCTAGTATCCTTACTCCAGTCTCGGTTTAAATTACTTACCTTAATTTATACTTAAAATGTTTTTGTTGTTATTTTTTGTCTAATAAACCCTAAGCCTGTCTGAGTAAATGATAACTACAAACTATATGTGGACTACTTACACTTTTCGGAATGTGCAATGACCACTACTGGTGTAATCCCATCATCTTCGGGAACGGGAGTTATATCGCTCCATTCCGGCCTTTCCTTATAGGGTACCCAGTAAACATCGCTGTCTCCACTGTCAGACATGATTTAAGCTAGACTACTATTTTATCACTGAAAATTTGATCCACTAACAAACATATAAGACGTGACTTCTGTGTATGCTTTAGGATACAAGGTGATATCTTTAAATAAACACTGTCAAGGCTTGGATACGAGCATTGTTATAAGGCTAGCACACAGGTAATTTTAGTTCAATATTATTTATTTTAAAACCTATCCCATACAACCATCTACACAGATGGCATGTGTTGTCATTCGTAAGTGGCAATTCACGGCTGTCAGAAAATTTGTTTTCTTAATATGTATTAAAAAATAAAAAAGCAAAGATTGAAATATTGGTCTTTATGTTATCAAAAATATAAGGAAAATAAAAAATTCAACAAAATACTACAGAAAAATGCTATGTTTTTTAAAATTTATAATAGTATAATACAAATGAGTACTTACTTCGTACAATTTTTAGATTGAATTGAATTTACAAATCCGAAATTGTCAAACCGAATTTTAACAAACAAAAAACTAACATTCTTAAACACAACATTTGGTACACGATGATTGCAAAATTATCTCTTTGATTTTAACTGGCAGAGAATATAATTTTGCTGCATAGATTATTTTTAGCATAGTTGTAAATGGTGCCAAAATAGATCAATTGAATGAAATTTCATTCTTCGGTTATCCTTAGGGATAAGATTACATTGCCATTGCAGGAAAGATACTGATAAGTGAAAACAAAATAGACCATTTAAGTTTTTCATAATAACATAATAAACAGCAAATGGTGAAAATACCCTTTTTAACTATTGGCATAAATTATTTTAAAATTGTACTCTTTATCAGTATAAAATATCTGATGATTCAGGATTTTTTTATAAAAGAAATGTAAATCAATAATAATATAAAAGAAAAGTGAATGTAAATGTAAATATCGTGCTATTTTAAAAGAGATACGAGGTCAACATAGACAAAAAAAAAGACAAAAAAGGTCCTTACTACAATTAATTCTTCTTCTTCTTCTACCTGGCAATTGCCCAGCTTTATCCAGGGTCTGCCTTTCATGTTATAAATAATTTTGGCTAATTGCTTATACGACCGGCCGCCTGTCTGACATCAACCCTCTTTGAGAATGTAAACTTCAATCAATCAATCAATCACTTAGCCTATTGCAGTCCACTGCTGGACATAGGCCTCTCCCAACACGCGCCATAACACTCGGTCCTCTGCCTTCCGCATCCAGTGAGACCCAGCGACCATTTTAAGGTCATCGGTCCACCTAGCTGGGGACTATGTAAACTTATAATTGTGGAATTATAAGTCCAGGTTTCCTCACGATGTTTTCCTTCAACGTCTGTCAGGGGTGTGTAAATACTCTCAGAAAGTACATATGACTCTGATAAATTACATTGGTACTTGCCAGGATCGAACCCGCGCCCTCATGCATGAGAGGCGGGCCTTTTAACCACTATGCCACCACTAACTTACTCCAAATATGTACCAGTAAAGTTTCTTCCTTATGAGTATTAATTTTGGATTTGGAAAGTAATATCTGAATAATTTTAAGAAGTTATTCACTCTCTACAATACTTCAACAACAATTTTAAGAAAAACATCGAGTGTACTGTCTTAGTTTTATAACTTATCACATATTGATTAAAATATCTTTGTAAAGTACAGGAATTAAATAATAATAACGAAAACTAACATTTTTTAAACATTTATTAAGTACAAATTTTAAATTATTTATATTAATAACAAGGTAATAAATAAAGAGGAACCCTTAGCTGTATAATTCGTATTTTTGTTTACCAAGCATAGTTCAGACCAAGTGCATTTGTATATGTCATGTGTGACACGGCAGGAGCTGCTGAATAAGCTACACCCAGTAGACCGGTTGCTACCTAGAAATAAAAAAAACAAAACTGTCATTTTATGAACATACGATATAATTATTTTACTTTAAATATTAATGTTTTATTACTATTTTGTGGTTAATTATTCAAATTAGGTACTTATTTTTAAAATCTATTTTGACTTTAGAATCCGTTAAAAGCTTTTAAGTCGATATAAAATAATAAAAGTAAAGTAACTGAATGTTTTAAATTAAAAGACGTCTACGTCAAGTTTTTATTGAACAGTCATTTATTTCAATTGTGGTTATAAAGTGGTCACAGTGTTGATTCAGTAATCAATTGATGCCACAAATTAGTTATTTGAGTTGCATATGCGCCTTCCTCTTATTGATAGACGCTTATAACATTTGGATTTTCCGCAAACTGTTTTAAGAATTGCTCATTTAATAAATAATGTTTTAAACAATAACTTTGATTATAATACAAAAAAAATATGTAAAGATATTCGTTTAAGAAAATATTCCCTTTAAAAATGCGTGTAAATAATATTATTATTTAAAAGCTATGATAACCGCACATTTAAATAAAAGCAGGTAAATATTGGATTTTTTTATAGAAGTCAAATGTTATATAGATTCTAATTTGGTATTTTTACCTCATAACGGTAAAATCTGAAACTAACACGAAGTGTTTTCATATAAGTCAAATAAAAAATCCGAAAGTATTAGGTATACCTACATATGTTGTCATATTAATTTCGTATATTAAATGTATATACAGTAATTTATATTATTATCGTACTTATCATTAAATTACTTACTTTGGGCGCTACCAATGGAGCCGGTGCTAAAATCGGTGAAGCGATTGTTCGGTATGCCGGAGCGATGGCCAACCCTGGGTTGCTAACCCTAATGTCCGCTTTACGTACACTTGAGAACGGAGTGTCTATTGCTTTTGAATACGTTGATATCTAAAACAATAATACTAATATTTGTATTCTATGCATATTGGCTTACTAATTGAAGGATAATTACGTGATAGATAATACTTAAAAAAGGACGAAACGTTCAACTAAAATCAACACGTAATTTTGAAATTATTTGTCCTGAATTCCTGTGATCAATTTTACTGAAAGATAATACTGTTTTTTTTTATTTCTTCTATTCCCAACAGTCTTTCTCTTGTTCAAAAAATATAAGTCATATAAATTAGGAGTTGTTTATATATATCTTGTTATATATTGAAAAAAAAACTGAATTAAAGTATATTTCTAATAAAACAGACCTCTCCCAAATTAAACGGTGATCTTATTATGTTTGCCTGCTGACTGGAGATAGCTGGTTGTGCGGGGTATGAGCTGTATCCATTGTAGTAGGTGTTGTAATAGCTTGCCGGAGCAATCAGGCCTCCAGCATGAACAGCTACGATGGCACAGGCAGCAATGAATAGCTGAAAAGAATTGCGATTACGTAACATTATTTTTTTCTCTATCATGTGCATTATAAATTTTTTGGTAACGAAGTTATGTCGAAGTTTATTAAGTACTACCTTTCCGCCCGCAGCTTCGCCCGCGTGGAGTTCGGTTATATCGCGTTTCAAAGAGAACCTCTCAAAAGTCTGGGATAAAAAACTATCTATCTGGGATAAAAAGTATGTTCTTTCTTGAGAAAGGTCCTTGGTCCTTGGACCTTGAGGTCAACTCTATCTCTGTACCAAATTTCATTAAAATCAGTTCAGTGGTTTAGACGTGAAAGCGTAACAGACAGACAGACAGAGTTACTTTCGCATTTATAATATTAGTAATTTTTATTAGGTATAGTTAAATTTGTATGTAGTGGATTAATCCATTATCGATAGATTAACTAGAGCAGATTTTTTATAGCGAAAGCATGCCATTCTACATATTAGAAAACTTAAAACAAACAACAAAACAAGCAAATACTATTTCGGGTCTTTATATCTAATAAGAAAAACTTTTTACTTGGATTTCTGTATTGCGATTCGGTACACATTTACAGCCAAGGTGTTGTGTTTATTAAGATTTTAGAATCGTTGTTTATTAGGATGACATAGAGATTTTGTCTACAAATTCTTTATATTTTTATATAGGTTTTAAATGTTGTCCTACTTATGTCTAAGCATTCCTCTTAGAAACTCTTCATGATTCTGAGGAAAAGCACACTTGCAAAGGCTTTTGGCGAATAAAACGTATTAAGAGAATTATATAGAAGTGGAATTCATATTATATCAATCACTAAAACATGAAATTTGGAAAAGCTTGAAATTATACAAGTGTTTTGAGTAAGAAATATTAGAGTAACATTATTTGGAATTAAGACACCAAATATGGGTTGGGACATTCGGTTTGAGCAACTGTAGACATGTATATTATCGGTATTTAGGAGTTAGAAAAGCAAATATAACAATAACATCGATTATGCCTCTTTCATTTACCATTCATGGGACGCAACCGATTTTTAACAAGTGCCCTTTTATGCCGAGTAGTTTTTTTGTGGTAGGATTTCAAAAATAAATTTACATTAAAAGGAAAAATATAGTACATATATAATAGCTATTGAGTATATTAAAGATATATGTAGGTATATTAAAATATCTTACCTTCAACATCTTGTAAGTTTACGTGTTGTAACCTGGATGTGATATGATTTCCTTGCAGCGTATTAAGGCTTTTATAGTAATCCACATGTCATGTGAGTGAACATGTTTATATGTTTATATATCTATGTTTATATATGTTCGAAAGGGCAGTACTAATAATATAGCACCTAACACTTTTATCTGTTTGAAATATTGTTTTGTATGCTTTGCACAAGTTACTATAGTCAAAATAATACGAAGATTTTCCCGTTTCTCATCCAATAACCTACGTTAAATAACATAAGAATTTTGCTCGAAAAACTGTTAACTGACTCCCTATGTGGTGCAGCAATGCAAATTTGGGTAAAGCATATGTATTTTTCTCAATCTAAATCATATTTTCATTACAGCTAATACAATTTTAATTTGAAAACAATACAATATATATATTATGTACATATTTAGATATTATAACTCTTAATATGTCTATAGTTTTCAATCATTATAGGTATACGTTACCTACAGGTAGGTACAAACATATATTTTACTTTCTTCTCTATTACTCGGAAAGGAGTGCATACATACATACATGTATACTCCCATCAGATTTAAAATATGTATACGTATTTTTTAAAATATAATTATCAAATAGTGTGTAGGTATTATATTTTAAGAGTATAGAAGAAGTTAACAAAGATTCCATCAATGTACGTTTCTACTTTCTCATAAGTATAAACAGAGTCTAAAGGAATTTTAAACAGTAATATATCGTTAAATTGCCTCATTATTTAATGTTTACACATTTAATTCAATGTACAAAAACTTCGTCATTTCGTGGTACAGTGGCAATAGCACAATATATTGCATCAGAACCAATCTCCAAGATTTCGAGAGTTCTTTGGAATAGGAATAACAACCACATTTATTAAAGTGACCGTGAATATCTGGAGCAGGTCGACAACTTATATTATGTATATATTTATATACAAGAACACATTAAATGTTAATTCTTGTATTAATAATAATTAATCAATGTTTTCTGTGCAAGGTGCACACAATATATTATGATAGCTAACATATTTTACATAGTTATATAAAAAAAATATCTCAGTGTCACACACGGGAGTAGCTTTCATTTATTTCAAATCGATTTAATTTTTCGAATCGATTTTTCGCTTACATAAGTAACAAACGAGATGTTATAAGGAATAAATATTTATTTATATCAAAAGTAGGATAGTCATAATGCTTCATCAAAAACTATGTATTTTATCGAATCTAGATAACAGTTTTTTTAATATTGCATAAAATTAAGTGTGAATTTTAATGAAACTAATATTTTCGGATTTACTACGCGAATTTTATTTTTGATTATAAACTACATACTCCCGACGTTTCGGTTACTTTACAGCAACCGTGATCACGGGCAGACGAGATGACATCTAGTTTATAATCGAAAATAAAAATCGCGTAGTACGTCCGAAAATATTAGTTGCAATTAAATTAATACTCGCGAAAATCTTAGATCTCATTATGTGTGAATATTACTTATTCTTAATCACCAAGGCGTGCCAAACAATGTTCCTATGCTTACATATCTAGTAGTTATTTGACCTAAACAAGTCACACATAAGTTTTGATTCATTGAAAAGGAGATATTAGCTTAATGCGTGGGTTGTTTGACTTGTTTAACTTTGAAATAATTGTTCTAAATATGTCTGTTTAAGCATTGTAATATAATAAGCGTACATATCTGAGTTGAAAGCCGTTTCATATCTAAATTCAGATAGATATATATTCTTTCTACGAGCTTATGATAACGTATGTTTACTTGGAACCTATTTATAAAACTTGGCTACTTATAACTTCGATTGAAAACGAACAGTCGTTGCATCTTTTGTATAATTGATATTTAGGTAGATAAAAAGAGATTTTGAGATTGATTGAGAATGGAGACAATTCTGAAGGCTTGACAACTCATACTTTTAACGATACAGCCCTAATAATTTAAATCATTAATGATAATTGCTTTGCACAATTTTGTGACAGGATAGCGTACTGAGAGTGTCAATATAAGATATGATAACTGCAACTAAACTATATCACTTAATACGCCTTCTATTTCATACTAATTAAATAGAAGGAAAGCAGTAGTATAAAAGATAATATGTCGGTATTGGAATTCTTTTTTATACTTTATGCAAGATAAGATAGATTAGGCAACTGCCAAATCATCCTCTATTACGATAACAAGAGAATGGTTTTTTACAAATGCACCATATGGTATAGAGATAGGTATATACCTATCTCTATAACATATATTGTTTTCTATAATGTATCTGGATAAAAAGATCTAGATTCTAGATAGTCTAATTACATGTCGCGTTGTAGTGCCAAGGAGAAATGTAGCTACACAAATGTGGGCCAAACAATTATATAAGTGATTCTTCTAATTACACCTGTCAAGCTAAGTATCCCCTCAAGTAGAAATTGTGTAGTTTCATACTGTAGTTGTTGTTTAGCTTTTCATACTGTCACACATTGCGAAGTCAAGGCTTTTATTAAAGCTGAGAAATGGCGTGTTTTCTACTTTACAGCATCATACTATATTTTTGGGGTGTCACTGGCAAAAGTTGGTATCCTGCCAGAGATCATAGTGAAGTTGTTTCAGGTACCGATTTAAAAGAAACAGTTAAAGGTCATAGTTCAAATTATTACCCTAATGGAAATATATCTTCAAAAAATTTTAAGGATTCCGAACAAATCCAACAGCTATCAGCGAATAAACAGAAAAGTATTGAACTTTATAATGTAGCAAAAAGTAATAATTGGTTAAATATGACCAGATCCAGAAGAAAAATTCGCAGGTGTTTACCCAGGTCTAGGTATTCGTACCGTGAATACAGCCCACAGGGAAGATTTTTGGAAGTATTCGAGGTGGTACAATTTGAGCATCTCCCTTGCACATCTGACACGGGTTTAGAAGGAACTTGCCTACATGAGATTGATTGCACCAATCAAGGTGGTACCGGAATGGGCTCGTGTGCTGATGGATTTGGGACGTGTTGCATCGGTAATGTTTTTTTATAATTACTATGAGATTCTTGCTTAACAATTGGAAGCTTTAAATCTTTTGCTTCTACCTCTGTGTTAATTTCAACTATATCTATCCCATTAAACTAGCTTCAAAGTTGGAAACGTAAACAAATCATAGATCTTCATTTGTCTTTTTGTCAACCCACACTTAAAGGAGATTCTTTGGTAATAAACACTGAGGAGTTTTTTTTCTAGTTATCTTCAATTGTGACGCACGTTCAAATTCTCGTGTTGGATGGTTCACGAACCCTGGTTTTCCATCTCCAAGTTCAGAAAGGCTATCGTGCGTATTCACTTTGGATAAACATTCGGATAATATAAAGCAGATAAGATTGGATTTTATGAATTTTGAGGTTTGTTATACGTTGCTAATATTACGCTTGGTTTTCATTGAATTTAAATAATCTGTCACTTCCAGCTTTTACCTCCAAGCTATGGGAATTGTGACCAAGATCAATTTACGGTTACCGCGCAAAATGCTAATTTTATTATACCCACACTTTGCGGAATCAATTCAGGACAGCATGGTATAAATTAAAAGATATATACTATAAAAAGTCAGTCAGTGGTGGTGGCTCAGTGGTTAAAGGGCCCGCCTCTTGTCGCCGAGGGCGCGGGTTCGATCCTGGCCCGGGCAAGTACCAATGTGATTTTTCCGAATCATATGTACTTTCTAAGAGTATTTAGACACCACTGACATACGGTGAAGGAAAACATCGTGAGGAAACCTGGACTTATAGTTTCACAATTATAAGTTTGAAATCACCAACCCGTCTTGAGCAAGCGTGGTGATTAATGCTCAAAACCTTCTCCATGTGAGAAGAGGCTATGCTCAGCAGTGGGCGTTAATAGGCTGATGACATGACTATAAAAAATCCTATTCATATTTATAATCTGATCCCATATGATTCTTAGGAGAAATCACACTATAACTATTCCTAGTAACGCTGTGTATATAGAAAATATTATGTAAAAACCTACAAACTGAAATACAAATTTAAACTTCAAAGCAATTATTTTAAATTAACATAAATCCTTATTTTCTTGCAGTGTACGTCGAAGTGTCCAATGTTGAAGGGCCGTTAATATTTTCGATGCAAACAATTACAGAAGAGGCTCGTCTTTATTCCATTAAGGTAACATTTTTTTAAAGGACATATACTTAACTATTTTCATTTTATGTTCTAACGGGTGAAATTCTATTAGATTACTCAACTAACAGCCTGGGACCAGCTAGCAGCACCTACAGGTTGCCTGCAATACTTTAAAGAAGACCAAGGTCATTTAGAATCATTTAACTACCGAGACAGATCAGAAATAGGCATCCTAAGATCATCAAGTTATATGGTAACACTGACAGGTCATGTTAAATCGACTTATTATATTCATACCAGACGTTAATTTTCTTTTGGTATTTAAAGAACAACTTCAATTATGCAATGTGCATCGAAAGGGCGCCAAATTCCTGCAGCGTAACCTATACGAATGTCGGAGAAATGCAAATAGTCAATTACGATACAGGTAAAGGTGTTTTGATATTTAAACAGAATTAATATAATGAAAAAAATTACTTAAACAATGATTTCCGTGAAGTTTTTGTACGTTTGTAAGCTTAAAATAATTTATATTATATACATATATATTATTTACAGAATGGATAATGATTTCCTATTTCTCCCTACCAAAGGATATCCACATACCTACTAAATTACTAGAATTATAGAAATGGACCCCTGCTAAAAAACAATTAATAGCAAATACATATACATGTTGTATTTGTAAAACTCAATTTTTAGATGTTTAACTTTATCACATTCCCAGCAGAGAGATCAAGAATTTTAGTTTAAAAACTTATGTATGCTTATTACGTCCGGTATTGTTAAATGTCTCAGCTAATAAAATAAATAACACAAAAATCGATAACTTCTTATAACAATTAATTTCAGACGGTCTCCCAGTCATACCGCCACAACAGGCTGGTGTGGAAATATTCAACTGTCCAACAGATTATTTGCTAATAGCTGCTGTAAGACTTTGTGGCGAACGACTCAATGATGGCTCTGTCCTGCAAGACTTTTCATTGGACGCACCAGTGACAGGTGACATACATATATGTTTTTGAAGTGAAACTTCTTATGCGACTTCCAACAAGGTTGCGTTAAACGTTTTACGCTGAGGGAGAGTGATAGAAAGATACACGAATGTAGAAAGTAGGAGAGAAAAACAGAGTGAGTCGGACGTCGGTAGATTCCAAGTAAATGCGCATTGTATTCTTGCTATGCAGCGAAGTAATCACTGTTAGTGCCGTGAAATTAGCTGCAATACATACCTACTTGTTATTCTTAGCTCTATATTATTTTTCTTTATAATATTTATTCTTTTTTTGATTCGACTCGAAACACATATAATTTATTTTCATTTCTACATTACGAAGTTTCACTTCTTCCGCACGGAGAGACTCGCACTGTTTATTTTTTATTATGAGTAAAGTTGCTGTTAGCCAAGTTTTGATAGCGTTACCGAGGAGGGACCCTTATATGTATATCTTACACTTCCGTGCACGATCTTAATTGTATCAAAGTTCTTAGTCTCTAGTCGCAACCCAGTTCATTCACAAATTTCTATTTATAATATAGTTGAGTAGCTATAATATTCAACTGACACATGCTATTTTCTAAATCTATAAAGAAACCTCAATAAATAAAAGAGAGAGAGACCCATAGATGTATATATTTTGCAAGCAATGGTCTTCTATTCTTAGTTCGGAAAGATTATTCATATCAAATAACTGTTTTTTTAAATGTTTTATTTACAAGAACGTGAAATACAAATTTATGGTTTTACTCGAATATAATTTTGAATAATCAACTTATACTTACGACTATTTATGATAACAAAAGTCCAAGATTTTTTAAATAAAATATTTGATACATTTGATATACTAATCACTATTTATTTCTAGACGATAGTGCCGGACCTATAGTAATAAGGTTTAGATCGGATGGGATTTACACCGGCAGAGGATTCAAACTTCACTATCAACAGAATTCTTGTGCGAAATGAAATATACTTGTTGCATTGATATACTTTGTTTTATTATATAATATATAACTATAAAATAAAAAAATTGTTTTGTAATCGTGCTTAAATATTATGTGACAGTAACTCAAAGATGTGCATACATTCTGCGTAATACTCACAAAATAGTAATATAAAAAAAAATCAGAACAAAAAATATATATTAAGTATTATTTTGTTATACATTTGATTAGATGTCAAATAAAAAAATATTAAACCCTTCATTTTCGACAGACATTTTATATTTGCAGTCAAAATTTACATTTGAGTAAAGTAAAAATAAGTTTTAATCTGTTAACAGAATTTCTAAACAGAAATATTTAAACAAAAAAATATAATCAGCTTTTTTTGCAAATTAAAAAAATACAACACTTAAAAATGTACTTTATTACATATATAATAAAATATAAAACTTAACATACTCTACTAACAAGTATCATATACCATCATTAATTTATGACCATAATTTTAAGTTATTACTTATAATAAGGTAGAAAATAAATGCATACTTTGTTTGGTAATTGGTTTTATGGTTACTTAAATATTACTTTTTATCAGTAAAATGTACATAGATAGATTTTGATGCTGCCTACTTTATAGTGGAATTAATTCTTCGTTTAGAAACTATCACTCTAAAATACGAGAATAGAGAACACATATATTAAGGACTATTAAATTATTATGCTGGAAAAATCTCTTTATGCATATATAATTTCAGATTTTTTTAAATATGTATTGTATTACCAAACTCACATAAGAACAAGGACAATATACATATATACATATTATATACATATACATGAATTTCCAGTACCCTAAATAAATATGCAATATGTATAATTAGATCATAAGTAATTCCTATTTTTTGATTTACAACTTAAGTTGATAATATCACTTATGTAGATTTATTGATGACAAAGAGCTGCTCATTTTGCACAATACAAAATAATGATACAGGATTTCATACAATAATTTGTTATATAAAACTAACACCATTTAATATAATTTTGATTAAAATGTACTGAAACAATAGTATATAATAAATGCCATTTTTACTCAATATGGTATAAATTTATAATAGATAAGTAAACTATTTATCCTTATCACTTTCTAAGCATTTTTCTTTTAGACCATCTTTCACTATCTTCTGGAATGATAGCTGGGGTACAACCATGATCCCACGAAGTAAACCCAATGTTAGTATTTGTAGAATAACTTGTAATGGCCCATCTATAGTAGCACAGTAGAGGGTAGATAGCAAACGACCACTGAAGCCAAATACAGAATAGATCCTGCCGTTCTGAAATGATATTAAATGAAACATTAGCAAAAATAATGCTTATTTAATAGTGCCTGGGACTTGCGACCCAGGTGTAGGTTTAAGGGACCCCTATCTTACGCGCATTAAACAATCACCTACACTGTCCAAGCCCCTCTCCCTACCTAAACAAATTTGAAAAGAACCTACTAGGGCTGCCTTCAAAGTACGTTCCAAGAATGAATTAATGTGAGTTCTGGACAGACCCAAGTCTTTTAGTAGGTTATATATATCTCAATTTACATACTGATTTTGCTGTCAATGACGCAAAAAGTAACTAAAAATATTGTGTACTGGTTAATATTTTTATACAAGCCGGTTTTTAATATTTAAATCATCTCAGATATATTATACTGGTTTTATAAAAAAAGTCGTTTGTTTCCACTTCAGAATAAAATGTATAAATTATGTTAATACAAAAGATATGCCAAAATTAGGCAACTTCTACATTCTTTAGAAGTGATTCATAAAACTATTCTACCTTGATTGTATGGTAATTATGTGAAATTTTTTGATAAATATAGCCTGCTTCTTATTCTCTTGTCTCAGTAACATCAATGTTAAATTTATTCAAACAATTAATTACAAATGATCCATTTAGTAGTTATTGTGTGAAGGAACATTCATACATATAACATTCATACATATATAAATTCTCACAAATTTATATACTTGCAATATTAATAGAATCGCAAGTTATCAGATTTTAATATAAAAACATTTCTTATGAAGAAAGATAATAAAAATGTTTCAAGTTAATGTGAACGAAGTCACAGGGAAAAACTAGTATACCATATATTTTTACACACATTAAATTAATATCAATTGTTTCAATTAGTATGAGGATATACAAATGTATAAACTAAACAACAAATCAGCATTGTTTATGATGACTTGCAAAACATATTATATATCAATTAATTCCTACTATTATTATTATTAATGCAAAAGTAACTCTGTCTGTCTGTTATGTTCTTTATTTTGCTATAGACAGAACCTGGTAGAAGGACATAGGCTATTTTTTATCCAAATGCCAAAATTATGATGGTTAAAGTACATCATTGTACCTCAATTTGTATTGTTATATATATCGATAATTATATATCGTCCGGGATAGTGCAAATCCGCACAACTGCCATTGGATAATTTCGCGTATTTGCATTAGAAGCAGATTATCATAACAATGTTTAAGCTGAAATAATTTTTATATTAACGATTTTTAAGGTAATTTTTTCACAATTAGTAATTATTTAGTGTTTAATTTATTACTAATTGTGAAAAAAAAAGCCTTAAAAATCGTTAATATATAAAATATTTCAGCTGAAACTTTCTTCTGATAATCTGCTTCCAATGTAGATACGCGGAAATATTCAATGGTAGTTATGCGGATTTGCACTATCCCCGATGACATTAATAATCAGCTTATCAAATATTTAATAGCTTGATATAATATCCTGTTCGGTCCCAATATTACATGAGTGGAACCATAAAATTCAGTTCAGGTACAGAGGCCATGGATTAGATTTTTGTAATTTTACCTCAATCTCAATCTCAACCCCCATATTTCAACCTGTATTGAAGAAACTACAATCTTACCAGTGCATCTTGAATCATTTTCTTGCCGACATCCTCGGCTGTATGTAACCCACCAGAACCGGATATTAATTTGGTTTCCTTCGGTTTAGTCAATTCCTCCTTTTCGAATCCAGGAGTGTCAGTATCCGGTGGAAATGCTAGCGTCAGTCTCACATTCGTTCCTGTAAGCTCCATGAATACTGATTCTGCCAATCCACGGACAGCCCATTTAGCTGCACCGTAAGCACTGTAGCCATATATACCTAAAAGAATTAAATATATTTAGATTGAACAAAAATTTAAAAACTTTTTAAAGGAGATACTTCCATTACAATAGTATTTAAAGTTCAGTTGAAATATTTGTCTCTTGATTAAAACAATTTTTGTAACTGAGTGTTTAAAATAGTAATGAATTTTGTAAAGTCAGTCTTACCTAGTAAAGCTGCTTCAGTAGAAACGAAAATTATGATCCCCTCATTCCGTTTCTTCATACCAGGTAGAACGCATCTAGTAGGATAAGCAGTGCCAAAATAGTTCAGATCTATCATTTGTTTTAATACTTTAACATCAACTTCATCGAACTCCCCACAAATACACGTTCCAGCACAGTTTATAAGCATAAATATAGGACCGATGTCCGACTCGAGTTTTTTGAAACATTTCTCTATTAAATCGTAATCAGAAGTAACATCTAGTACCACGTATTGTATTTTCTGGCCGCTGTAAGGTTTACAGTGGTTTGTTATGTCACCGACAGCCAAAATAAGTTTTTGAAGATCACGTCCAATGATTGTTACGTTTGCCCCCAATTTCGCCGCTTCAATCGCGGCTGCTTTGCCGATACCGCTTGACCCTCCAGTGATAACGACATGCCGGTTTTTCAGGTCTTTATACACAATTTTTTTATCCAATACATGATACAAAAATACGAACAATATAAACAACAAAATAACAAACAGTGCCAATATATACAAAAACATTATAGATTCTTGAAAGAACGTTTGCAATTCACGCGTCTGTTTTAAAAGTATTTTGTGGGAAGATTTAATTTAGGAACTGATTTTTTCTTATATAAGGCGTGAACGGTAAAAACTAAATAAAAATAACCAATTAGGTATCTAAAAAATAAAACTCGTGGATTTGACAGCAATCAATGACGTGCAGAAGTCAGTGACATTGACATTTGACAATGATATATATATTTTTTGGTTATATTCGTTCCGTTCAGAACAGGCAAAGAGAACAAAGCCCATACAGCCATGTCTTTTGTATTTTGTATCTTTAATTATTTTTAAATGTCTTAATCTACTTTTTTATTCTTGACTCAAGTTTTTATATCAGGCCTAAGCCATGTCTTCTTTTAATTTTCTTCTTGAATCCTTTTTTACTTATAAAGCCAATGCCATGTCTTTCTTTAAAATATTTTTTTTGTCAAACTCTTGTTTTATTTTTACATTCCGTCTTTTTTCAATGTCAAGTCCTTGGAATGTCATTTTTAGTACAATGATTAATTTGTCAAAATTGATATAACAGTCAAATTCTGAAAATAGCTGAAATAGCTGAAAGTAAATATCTTAAAGAAAACGAACAAATTTGTATTATATACATATGTACAAATAACAATTAGATTTCATTTATAGTAGAAACAATAAAGCCATAAACTGGCAAGAAGCATTCTTGAATGCTTAGTATTTGAAGAAGGGAGCGCGGGATATCTTCAGCAGTTTTAAAAATACTTAAAAGTTGGTCTACAAGGACCATCCTTTGAATACTAAACTGTGGACAATCAAAAAATATATGTTCGAGGGTTTCATCAGCACTATTGCAATATCAAGAAGTTGAAGAGTCAAAAACACCAATCCAAAAAAGGTGAGCACCAAAACTACAATGTCCCAGAAGCAAACGACAGATTGTGGTATAATACTTTCTATGGCTATAGTCACTACCCCGGGTAAACCAGGGGGAAGAGATCTTTTTCTTTATTGTAGCGAACCATTTTCCTTTTACCTTTACCACCTGATGCCATAAGGTGTCAAATTCTTTTTGTAACTTGAGTTTGAAAAGGGATAGAGCGTCTGAATAAGGAATTGGGAAATTTAAAAAGCTATGTCTTAATTGATTGTGGGGTGGATTTGTAATAAATTTAGCTATATAGACTGCTTGCTCATTACCATGCACACCAATGGGGGCTGGTGTCCAGAATATGACTATTTGCTTGTTTTGAGACAGCAGGTGATACAACTCTCTTATTTTTAATAAACTTAAACTATCCATTATTATAATCCACTTAGGATGAGTCTGTGTTTGAATGTTCTTCATAGCTGTATACACAGCTATGGATTCAGTGGAGTATATGCTTGTGAGTGGATTCAGCCTATGACCAAATCCACTTTTGATCTGACCAGTGTCGGCTGGTGGGTAATAGAACTGTTGGTGCACTTTACAAAAATATTTTAATTAGAAAATGCAACAAAACATAACGAGATGTCAATCACGGCTCTATTCGTCATACATTTGGTACTCTTGGAAATCTTCAGTTGCTCGTGCGGCGCTCGAGAACCGACTCACTACTCGGTACATTTCTATGAACTATGTTTTGTTTCACGCGTCAGGCGTATTAATGCGTGTCTCATACAAGTTAAGTAAAGCGCTCCAAGTTTTTGACCATAATATTATGGAATTTTAATTTTTTATACGTTTTTATATGTTTAAAAAATAAATATTAAAATGGTAATTTAAAAATAAAGATGAAGTAATATTTTGTAATTTTTAAATCATTTGAATTGGTGGTTCAGCGCACAAGTGCACTTAAGGTACAGCCGCCACTGGATCTGACTATCATAGATAGCTATAGAGACTGCTTCATTGTTCCTAGACCCATCTGTATATATCTGATGATATCCGTGCCACCTATCAAGTTCCCTATAAATGTCTTCCTGATACTTTAGAAGACTTTTGACTACAATTTTAATCTGCATAAATTTTGATTCATATAACCCAGAGTAAATAGCCATGCTAGAAAAAATTTTGTGTTCATTAAAAATTTGTTCTGTTTCAGAAAAACAGTGAAACACATATGAATTAATATTGGCAGTTCTGTTAATAGTGTCCCGCAGTTTAACAAGAAATGGATGGTACTTATGGAGAGCAACCTTGCAAAAAATTTTGATTGTAAGTATTTAATCCTAAGTGCTAATGAAGGTATATTACATTCCACCTGCATTGACACTATGGGAATATTTCGCATGGCACCCATTATAATACGCAAACATTTATTTTGTATCTTTTCTTAATTTGTTTACTATAGTTCTTATCCCTGCAAAACAAAAAAATGCATATTCAAAATGACTCCTTACTGATGATTTATACAATGTTAATAGAATCCTTGGATCAGCACCCCAATATGTGCTTGTTAAAGATTTTAAAACATTACAAGCATTTAAATCTCGAGATTCTAGAGTTTCAGCATACTTATTCCATCTAGAATTGTTTGTAAAAATAACACCTAAAAACTTTACAGAGCTCTCTACAGACATTACATTCATATTGAACAAAATATTTACATTCCTTTTTCTAATTCTATTTTTTGAAAAGACAACAACTTTACTTTTTTCATTGCCGACCTCCAGCCCAAGGCTATCAAAATAGTTCTTAAGTCTTTGGAGAGCAACATTGAGGACTGATTGTACACGTAAAAAATTAGTATCAGAGCAATAAACAACTAAATCATCTGCAAAACTGCAGATTAGAAACTTCACACAACAGAGTTAAATTTAGCTGATGTATGAATAGGATAAAAAGCAGTGGGCTCAATAGTCAATACACCACCCTGTGATACACCCCTACAAGAATATCTTAGACCAAATAACTGATTGTTAACCTTAACAAACACCTTTCTGTAGTTCAAAAAATTAAAAATCCAATTTACAACTTTTCCAGGTACCTGTAGTAATAATAATGTTGAGGATAATTTGTTCAGATCTACATTATTGAAAGCCCCTACAATGTCAAGAAAAACGCCAACTAGTACTTTATTCTCGGAACGAGCATTGTGGATATACAGACAGAAATGACTTAGACTCCCACAAGCAGAACGGCCACAACGAAAGCCAAACTGATTGTAAGGTAAAAGATTATTACTTTCTATGTGAAAAATTAATCTCTGTTTTATTATTTGTTCAAAAATTTTTCCAACATATGAACTTAGTGTAATAGGACGATAAGAATCGGCCAAATTAAAGTCTTTGCCAGGTTTTAATATTGGTACCAAACAGTCAGTTTTCCAATCCTCTGGGATAATAGAAAACGACCATAAACTATTTAATAAACTTAAAAAAATAGACAGAGTTTGAACATTTAAAAGTTTAAACATTCTGTAGGAAAGTCAATCCAAGCCATATGAAGAATCTTTTCTTGAGGCTAAAGCAGATTTTAACTCTTCCTTAGTAAAACAACCGATCATGTATGAATTATCACTATTTACTCCAAGAGCATTATCTATACATATCTGTTGTGAAACAGTATCCGGTGTGTATTTATATAAAAATGTTTGAACCCAATTGAGGTCAGAAAATAAGTTAGAACTCGGAAAGCCTTTTTTGAATTTTCCTATTTTAGTCCAAATGCGATTTATAGATGTCAAACGATTTATTGATGAGCAGAATTCAGACCAACTTTTACAACGTTCTTCTTTTAAAGTGCGTTTTTTAAAGGCTTGTGCGCGTTTGAAATTAATGTAATTTTTACTATTAAGACTAGTTTTGAAATTAATGTAGGCGTTCTTGCAGTATTCTACTACTTTTGAACATTTATCATTCCACCAAGGCACTTGACACCCTTTTCTAGGACGGTTATTATTACTATCAGTTGTGTTATGGTTTAAGCTGGGCCCGGAGAATTTGATTGTCAATAGAATAATAGCACGAAACTTTCTGTATGAGTCAAGGAGATCACTATTGTCAACTCTAAAGTTCATTAACATTTTATTAACTATTTGTTTACAAATTTCAGATTGCTGTGAAAAGGAATGTTGTTCAAGGAAATAGAGGGTTCATGTTGATCTCTTACGAGAGTAAATTTTGCGATAGTTGGCAGATGATAACTGCCTAAAGAGTCCTGATGAACTTGCCATTCACAAGAAAGAAGAAGACACCATAGTTAAATCTAGACCGTTTGGTTTCCAAATATGAGAGCCTTTAGTTGTTGGTTGACCATTATTTAAAAGTATTAAGTCATGGTCATCTATGGAATCCATAATAGATTTGCCCCGAGAATCTATGCGACTGCAACCCCAAAAAGTATGATGGGCGTTAAAATCGCCTGCAATTATCAACGGTTTTGGAATACTGTACAATAAACGATCGAACTTCGCCTTTTCAAAAGCAGGAAAACAATAGTTTTCCTATAGGTAATAACCAGGACTGTAAAAACTAACCAAAGAAATGCATTTATGTTTCAGTTTAATAACAATTACTACATTTTGTCACGAATCATCATAAAAAGTATCTAGTTTAGAGAAATGTATACCATTTTTAATTAATATTTGCTTGATCATTACCGCAGTCATTCCTAATAATGGTACATATAATCATGTATATTAAATTGAATGCTAGGCTTGAGCCTAGTTTCTGAAATAAGAGCTACATGTATATTATTTTGGTATAGAAAATTTCGAAACTCAAGTCTGTTACTTAACAGACTTTGAGCGTTCCACTGTACAATATTTAAGATTTGGTGGTTGAATGTGACGATTTGCTATTTTTGTCCTGGATGGTTTCTTTAATAGCTGAGCTAATAAATTGTGAACTAATACTTATATTTTGAGTTTTATTTAAAGTTATAGCTCTTACTATAGATTCTGTTAATAGAGTCATTGCTTCGGAATTTGATAGTATTGCTTGGATTACTTCTTGGGTATTTAATTTTTTATTAAGGGAGGGAAATTTTAATGAATCTTTTAATAAATTAATCCACTGTTAATAAATTAATCAACTGTTAATAAATTAATCAACTGTTAATAAAAAAATCAACTGTTAGTAAATCCACTGTTAATAAATTAATCAACTGTTAATAAATTAATCAACTGTTAATAAATTAATCAACTGTTAGTAAATCCACTGTTAATAAATTAATCAACTGTTAATAAATTAATCCACTGTTAATAAATTAATCAACTGTTAATAAATTAATCAACTGTTAATAAAAAAATAAACTGTTAGTAAATCCACTGTTAATAAATTAATCAACTGTTAATAAATTAATCAACTGTTAATAAATTAATCAACTGTTAATAAATTAATCCACTGTTAATAAATTTATCAACTGTTAATAAATTAATCAACTGTTAGTAAATCCACTGTTAATAAATTAATCAACTGTTAATAAATTAATCCACTGTTTACTAATAAACTAATTAAAACCTATTCACCTGTTCTTAGAAGTTAGAAAGACAAATGACAATATTTAATAATAATAAAATGGCGAAAAATTATATGAACAGTTTACCGACCAATCAGAGAGCCCCGTTTCATTAGTTAGTTGTCAAATCTAATGTCGAAAAAAAACGTTTGTAATAAAACAACTACTAATAAATTCAAAATTAATGAAAAAAACATTAAAATAAAATTTTAGAAATTTTGGAAACAAATGAATGAGTGTTTGCCTTTGGCATCAAGTATTTATAGTGGTGATCAAGTTCATGTCTGAACAAGCATTAAGCATTGTCTGGCGGATAGCGCTTTGCAAGTCTGTACACGAAATTGTACGTAATATCGAATACGCAAGTTTGGACAAGTAACAGTCGCTTGCCTTATTAAAATATTATCTGCTTAGTTAGGTACTTAAAACAATGTAGGTAGGCCCTTATAAAAACTATGCTTACATTTTTGCTCTTTACTATCAAAAGCAGATAAATTTTCGTGGACCCCCATTTTTGTTCACGCCTACCTAGACCCCCAGCAAGTCTCCCGTGGACCCCTGGGGGTCCACCTGGACCACTTTGGGAATCACTGCTTTATATATTTTGTGATTGGATAGATAAGTGGGAACCGAAGAGATAACTTCCGATAGTTCGCTAGCCCCTGCTGGTATTGAAGCTTTAAGTCGTTGTTCCTTTAGATATGTATTTTCTAAAAAGGCATTTGCTAAATTCGCACGTTGGAAAACAACACCGACCTTATATTTATTTATTTTTTTTTAAATATTGTATACCTTTCACAGAGCATATAAAACTAGTACGAAGCGACATCATGTCACTATTTCCGAGTGGGACATCATTAGTACTTTCGACAAATACTATGAATTCAGACTTGGCTTCCGCATCTTCAGGGTATCGCCGACAAAAATCAGCGACCCTAAAGGGAGCGAAGGCATTTGCATCCTTTTTTTTTTTGTTTTCCCAGGGGAAATCTGTTCACAGATACCCGGCCAAGCGGGGACTTGACCGGGTTATGTGGGGTTTCGACCCACTAAAACCCCTGGGTGTTCCTCAACCACGCCACCTAGGCAGGGCCACGGTATATCACGAGCTTGCCTCGCGACCCTGCCGGTAATAAGGCATTTGCATCCTGCAATACTTTCGAATCCTCGCAATCGGAATCGCTGCTTGTGCTGACATTCAAGGACTCTCCCGAATCCTTCTTTTTACGTTTTTTTTACCATCTCTCTACATAAACACTTATATACAGACTAAATTTTACTTCTTTATAATAAACTAAACAAAAATTCGCAAATTATAGCATAAAACTATTTAAAATAACTAAAATTTTCAAAAAGCCCGCGTCAACGTTTCAATTCCCGCGCTCTTCCTTGACAATGATACACAATAGTTGTAAGAGAATTTTTTTTCAAGCATAGTTGGTGTAGTCTTCCACAAATGATGAATTTCTAATATAATGAGAAAAACTTGTGAAACTTGTATAAAAATCTGTGTTTTTGTTATTATCTATCTATATATATAAAAGAAAGTCGTGTTAGTGACTGCACTTATAACCCAAGGACGGCTGAACCGATTTAGCTGAAAATTGGCAGGGAGGTAGTTTAGAGCGAGGAAATTGCAATAGGATACTTTTTATCCCGTTCGACAGCATTCCCGTGGGACTACACATGAAACGTCAGTCATTATAAAACGTGGAATAACACAATTGACAGCTATGCAATTAACGTATAATGACAGATATGTAATGACGTATGGATGACAATTAGATATTTGTAAGAAATCTACTATATAAAAATAAAAATATTTAGTCTATCTATATATATAAAAGAAAGTCGTGTTAGTAACTGCACTTATAACCCAAGAACGGCTGAACCGATTTAGCTAAAAATTGGCAGGGAGGTAGTTTAGAGCCAGGAAATTGCAATAGGATACTTTTTATCCCGTTCGACAGCATTCCCGTGGGACTACACATGAAACGTCAGTCATTATAAAACGTGGAATAACACAATTGACAGCTATGCAATTAACGTATAATGACAGATATGTAATGACGTATGGATGACAATTAGATATTTGTAAGAAATCTACTATATAAAAATAAAAATATTTAGGTATTGTGTTTGTAGTTTGAACTCTTAAAACCATTTAGTATTTGCGGGAAAAATTTAGAAAATCATTGTTTTTCACATGGGCAGTTATATTTTGCGTGTTCACGAGTTTGGAAACCATACGCTTTATTTGTGTTAAAGTTAGACCAAAAAACAAAAAATGTGGTTTACAAAGGAGCACTTCAATGAAACGGATAATTTGCGGACACGTATTACGCTTCTATTCGGTATCTACTTTGGATTCACTTTCATTTATTTAGAGAAGTTCAACTAAATAACACTTCATTTTTGTATTCGAAATGAATTCATTACTGTTGTGAAATGAAATAAAAAATTTCTTTTTCAAATATAAAACCAAAAAATTCTTCATCTTTTAATCACCAAACGAAATGTTATATAAAAGCCTTCTGGTGGCGAAACGGAGTTCGCCAGGTTTACTAGTTTACAATAAAGATAATTTGTATAAAGTAACCATTATTTGAAAGGCATTTAAAAAAACGAAATGGTGGTTTTTTTAAAACATTTATAACAAAAACTATATTTTTAGAAAATTGTTAACAAAAGATAGTGGATTAAAAATAGTCTTTGCGACATAAAAAAAATGTTTTAAAAGAAATAATTAATCATGCTGAAGCACAAAATTTAAACTTTATGTTGTATGAAATAGGTTACGTACATGTCAAAATTATAACTTACGACTACTGTCAAAATTCTGTTTTTATACATCTCACAATATGTCAACTTCAAAATTGACATAGCAATATTGATTCTTAATTCGTTTTTGTACATACAATAAATACAATATAAGTGTTAGGATTAGTTTTAAATTTAACTAACAATTAGGTAACAAATCTAAGAATAAGTATTTATTATTAAGGACAGACCACCACGCCGCCAAACCTAGTAACTATAATGAATCGCGAGGCCAATAGGATGAATACTTTTACGAACTGGCCAACCTCAGCGCCAGTGGAACCATCGAGGATAGCTAAGGCGGGTTTTTTCTACACTGGTCATGGGACCGAAGTTCAGTGTTTTAGTTGCGGGCGTAAAATATCCGAATGGAATTACGCAGACCAAGTGATGTGGAGACATAGAACGTTAGAACCGAATTGCGCGTTCGTAGTTAATCCTGGTTTATCAGGTAACGTACCGTTAGTGTTAGGTCGTGAGTGTTCCGTACAATCTAATCGACCAGCAGAGATTGAGGAAGAGCAATCCCAAGATTATGGATTGACAGAAGAAGATGAAATGTATAAGAGTGACTCACTGAGACTTTTGTCTTTCGTGAATTGGTATGATTATAATGATGTAAGTTATATGAAATTTTAATTACCTATATTTATATATTAGAACTTATCATTATTAGTCATTAAGATGAAATATTAATATTTATTTACACAAACAAGCAAACATTTCTAAATATTTCATAATAATGTTAGCATTCATATAATTTGACCTCCAATAAGTAAATAAACTGTTAGAGATGCGACCTTACATACTTACCTACTTAAGACAACCTTGGGAAGTGTTTACCTTACACATTACAAATTAAAACTTTTTAACACACACTCTCTTGATTTTTAAATTACTCTATAAAAATTTATGATAAACTATAATACAGTAAAGAAATTAATTAACCTAAATTAGATTATTCATTAATTAGTAATAATAAAAAAAAATACTGTTTTTGGATTTTTTTTTACATTTTTTCTAATATTTCTCTATTTAGTATGATAATCTTTTCTTAAAGTAATGAAAATATGTAAATTTTGTTCATATTAATCTATATTATGTCATATTAATGTACAAAGTTTTAAATATTTAGTTAAAAAAATTCTACTCATATAGGATTCTTCCGTGTCTCGTGAAGAATTGGTGAGTGCCGGTTTTTATCATGCCGGTGAAGGACGACTTCGTTGTGCTTGGTGCGGAGGTGAACTTGCTCATTTTAGGAGATTCGGCTCACTTGATCCTCCCCTCGAGGTACACAGAAGGTAAAAGCAATATAAATACTAAGATTACTTATTGATTTTCAATAAATTTATTGCTATTCATGTAATACATTGATAACCTATATAAAATAAACTTGTACTTCCCCTTAAATGATTCTTTTTGTGCTTGTCTAATACAGTAGAAACTCGATTAACCAGACTAATTGTTTTCGATAGGCATTCAGATAATTGAAAATCTCAAAAATAAAAAATACATATCAACGAAAATCAATTTTTATTTATAAATAATTAAAGGGTACATTTTCTTCTTTTTAATAGGGTATTTGACTTATAAGTTGTAGTTATTTCAAGTAATTGGTCAGTAGTCCGGATAATCGCGAATCCGTATAACTGAGGGCCGGATAATCGAGTTTCTACTGTATATACATATATTTGCCGTGTACTGTAAATATAGTATTTGTTTTATTTCTTTCAGATACTTTCCTCGTTGTTCTCATGCAGCGGCTCTTGAGATGAGTCGACGTAATATGTCCACGGTTTCGTCTCCGTTGTACAGTCAACCTCTTATAACGCCTGTACAATCACTACCTGTGTCGATAGCGCCACAAACGTGAGTTTTGTGGAAATTTTGCATTGAACAGCTGAATATTTGACTTTAGAGATGGTCCCAATAATGTTTAAGTGTAGAGAAAGAACTATTAAGATGAAGATATATGAATATTTGATAGAACCTTGCATGAATTAGTTTTTGTTTAATATTTTGTTTGCTTAGGCCTTAGACCTTGAAATTGGGTACAGAGAAAAAAATATAGTTTGCCTTATCTGATATTATGCAAAATACGACTCCAATGCCTTGATTTAGTGACTACGCAATTCTGATATAAATTATAATTTATAGTGTACATGGGCTATGCCTTATTCTGACGTCATAGCTATATAATGGTCATGTTACTTTAAAATATTTTAAGTAATTTTTGCGGTAACAAGCAACAAACATCCACATGTCATTCGCAATTTTTTTATAACCTCAGTAAGAGATAGAGATTTGTAAGAGAAGGATAGATATATGTATTGGTATTTCCATGGTCTGTGATAGTTCGGGAGCTCAACATAATGCCCGTGTTATGGAGGCGGGGGGTGAGTGGAGGTCTTTGGGGGTAGTGGGAGGAGGGGCGAGGCACCCCACCCGGGCCGCGCTCGCTGCAAGACTGGCTACCTTCGAGCGCTGGCCAGCGGACCGCGCGCAGGCACCCAAAGCTTTGGCCGCTGCTGGCTTCTTTTACACAGGGATTGATGATCAGGTAATAATCAATACGTTGATACTGAATTATTAGCTGATAGTGATCAGTGGCGGCTGTACCTTAAGTGCACTCGTGCGCTGAACCACCAATTCAAAAGATTAAAAAATTACAAAATATTACTTCATCCTTATTTTTAAATTACCATTTTAATATTTATTTTCTAAACATACAAAAACGTATAAAAAATTTAATTTCTTATTATAGTCAAAAAGTTTGAGCGCTTTACTAAAATAATATCTCGTGCGCTTCGGTGAGCGCACGAGGACTGCTAATACATCTTGTATGAGATACGCATTAATACGCCTGACGCGTGAAACAAAAGATCGTTCATAGAAATGTACCGAGTAACGAGTCGGTTCTCGAGCGCCGCACGAGAGACCGAAGATTACCGAGAGCACCCGATGTATGACGAATTGGAGTTGAAAACAATCAAAACTTTTCTCCGAAATAGCATGCACTTGCTAAATGCACTTTCTATGCTTAGTATTGAAAAAATAATTATACAAACAATACCCGATTTTAATAAAAAGGTGATTGAACCTTTCGCTTCAGAAAAATGTCCTCGCATTGATTTAATATATAAAAATAAACATATTTTATGTCAATTGGTTTTTTGTTACATTTCCTAATTTTAATATTTTAGTAAAGTGCACCACCAGTTCGATAACCCATCAGCCGCCACTGATAGCGATTATAATTTAAGATATTCTTAATTAATCATTAACAAAATAGCGAATAACGGTAAAGGATTGAGTTTCTTGAGTCTAATAAAAAATCTTCATTATCCATAATAGTTTTTTTTCCAACTCTGCACTCTATAAAATTGTGTTGCACTCGAACTGGAACATAAATTATGCACAAATTTTAAAAAAAGCAGAAAATATAGAATGTAAAATTCATAGATAGTAAGATTCGAACCCGCGACCCTCATGTATAATTGCATTTACTTAACCAACTAAGCTATCGTGTCCATGGAGTTCTCATAGTTTTGATATATTCTATATTATTATTGCCCGTATTCTTTATAGTATACTAGCTTTCCACCCGCCGCTTCACCCGCGTGGAGTTCGGTTATATCGCGTTTCCAAGAGAACCTTTCAAAAGTCTGGGATAAAAACTATATGTTCTTTTTCAAGGTTAACTCTATCTCTACCAAATTTCATTAAAATCAGTTCAGTGGTGTAGCCGTGAAAGCGTAACAGACAGACAGACAGAGTTACTTTCGCATTTATAATACATATTAGTAGGGATTAGGTATAGTTAAATTTGTATGTAGTTGATTTATCCATCATCGATATATTAACTAGAGCAGATTTTTTTATAGCGTAAGCATGCAGTTCTATTAGAAAACTTAAAACAAACAAGCAAATACTGTACGAATACTATTTTGGGTCTTTATATCTAATAAGAAAAACTTTTTAATTTCTTTGATTATTAATGTGGCTTGCATTTCTGTATTGGGATTCGGATGGGACATACAGACAGAGTTTCTTTCGCATTTATAATATTAGTAGGGATGTTATCTTATCTTTTGCACTATATTTTTCCAGGTTCGTTGTTTCTACTGTGACGGCGGTCTCGGTAAGTGGGAGAGCGGGGACGCGCCGTGGTCCGAACACGCGCGCTGGTTCCCACACTGCGGGTACGTGCTGTTGGTTAAAGGGAGGGAGTTTGTGGACAGCTGCAGGAGGGAGAGACCTAGACCGGTGAGGGATAGGGATGGAAAGATGATGGATAAGGAATGGAAGGATTAAAAAGGTGATAGAAAAGGCATGGAAGGATGGTGAATATGTTGAATTAGGGATGGAAGGATTAAGGAGATGGTGGAAAAGCGATGGAAGGATGTTGAATGTGATGGAAGGATTAAAGAGATGTTGAATGAGGGAAGGAAGGATTAAGGAGATGATGGAAAAGAGATGGTAGGATGTTGAAGATGATGGCTGAGGGATGGAAGGATGAAAAGATGTTGAATTAGGGATGGAAGGATTAAAGAGATGTTGAATAAGGAATGGAAGGATTAAGAAGATGTTGAATAAGGGATGGAAGGATTAAAAAGGTGATGGAAAAGCGATGGAAGGATGGTGAATATGATGGAAAAGGTATGGAAGAATAGAATGCAGATATCATTGAATGAACAAAAAAATGATAAGAATCTATAGATCAAAGTTCAGATTCGATTAATATGAATTAAATAAAAAGTGGTTATAAGAACTGAGTTGCATGAATAAAAAAGTATAAGTACATAATGTTTCCTAATATTTAACTTTATTATTATTATTTTAGTAAAACATTAAAAACGAGGATTTTAGATAGTCTAAAGTATTATTTTTCTTATAAATCGTTTAATTATAAATATTTCAGTTACCACCTGTGAGGGGTACCCGTGATGCTCTCAACTACCCGATAACAGAAAGTCAGGTAAATAAGGTTTTGTAATAAAAAAAACACAAAAAGTTATAATAATAATTTATTTTCTATGTAATAAATTTAATATTAGCACCGAAATTCAATAACTAACAAGATATCTTATAGCTCATTAATTCATGAAAATATTATCTACACATTTTATGTTTATATGAAACGAATATATTCCGATTAGTATAAAGATTTATTCGGTTTATTTAGATAAAAACTATATACTCCCGACGTTTTTGTTACTTTGCAGAAAACTTCGGGAGTATGTATATAATTATTTAAGGGTTTTTATTTAATTTTAGTTGATAATACTATGTTAATCATTACAGATAGATGAATGTATGGAGAGTGGACCCGCTATGGCTGCTTTGAGTGCGGGTTTAGATGCAGCCAGAGTGAGACGTGCTGTTGTAAGGAGGCTACAAGCAACAGGTCATTAATAGATAATAAGGAATGAGTGAATGAGTGAGTGAGTGAATAAGTCATTAAATATATACAATAAAGTGTTCAATAAGTACTAAAAAATAATATCCAACTCTCTACATAATATGGTGAGAGAATGTTTATTGAAAAATATTGTTTTATATTATCATCATTTATGAAATAAATTATTATCATATACATTTGTAGACAGTTATAGTATAAATTAAAAGTGACGCAAGTCCATGTTTAGTCAATTTGTATTTCACTATACTGAATATGTGACAAGGACTATTGAATTAATAAAATTAAAATTTTATTATTAACAAACTTTTCTTACTACAATTTGTAATTGAATTAGAAATTGTGATATCCAATAAAATTATTAATTTACTAATATGTATGTGTATTGTGACAAGTAATAAGACTGAGTGACCGAACCTAATATAAATATCTACCTACATTATAGTAGACAAAGGCAGACCCTGGCTTTAGCTGGGAAATTGCCAGGTAGAAGAGATTATAGTAGACAACATATTATTATTTAACAACACCAACCAAGTATAATTAATACATAACACAACTTATATATGTATATACAGGGTGACTGGTGAATTACTATCAATATTTAAGGAGAATACTCGGTACATGATTCTCATTCGAATTATGTAAAAAAAATAGGCACTTAATTTTTGACAAAATTTCCGTATAAATAAATAAAGTGTTGACACGTTCCAAGTGTTCCAAGCGTAAACGCGTGCGGCGGCGTGCTGATACAACACCACGCCGCCGCACGCGTATGTGTGTGTGAGTGTATACCTAATCTGTAGGGTGTGCACACGATGCGTAATTAATTACATAACTTTTGGTTAACTTTACTTAGAAGTTTATTAATATTTATGTTATATTAATTTTTATTTTGTCAAATATGATCGTCAAATATCACGTCCTCAAGTATCGATAGTAATTCACCAGTCACCCTGTGTATATATGTTTATAGGAGCGCCTTTCACATCGTCAGAAGCCCTAATAGACGCCGTGTTAGACGGCCAGCTGAATGAAGAAGCTTGGTTGGTGTCACCTTCATCACGAGCTGCAAGGGACCTACTCGCTGGCACACTGAGAGGATTTGTGCCTACATCTGGGTTAATATTAATTTATATATCTATATAATAAGAGACAAAACCTCTTAGTATTCAATGTATTCACCATACGGGTGTCGGGTCCATCGTTGTAGTGAGAGAAGCTTCAACAGTGACTGGCACTTGCGACCCAGGTGTAGGTTTAAGGGGCACCTTATCTAACGCGCGTTAAACGCTCACCTCCACTGTCCAAGCTCCTCTCTCTACCTAACAAAATTTGAAAAGAACCTACTAGGGCTGAATTTTATGTACGTTCCAAGAATGAATTGATGTTAATTCTGGATAGGCCCAAGTCTTTTAATAGGTTATAGACAGATTTAGCTGTTATACCTCTCGGTCCCACTTCTACCAAGTACAAATCTACGACGAACATATTTCGAGTGAGTTCGTTAGTGAGCTCGTAATATTTGTTGACCTTGATGGTATGGCCTTTGGGGATGTTTGTTTCCCAAGGAACTGTAAGCTCTATCATCGCAACGCGCTTTAAAATTCGCTAATACATAAATATGTCCGGTCTGGAGGCCGACGCACAAATATCCTCTGAGATTTTGTATTGTTTCTTATAATATTAATATTTTTAATCCGTCCTGATTGACAAATGACAGTGCTTTGACATATAGCTTATATTACTGTCATGATCGGTATCTTAAGGTCCTAATACAGATTAAAAATGCAAAATTCCCCAGATTTTTTCTTTATGCTATTACAGTTTATATGGGTAATTTGAAACTCTTGTTGATATTGATCATATGTATGGAAAACTTATTTTGTTTTCATGTGTATGGAAAACTTATTTTGTTTTCATTCGTTTTTGCGTTATACATGTATACCGCCATTTATATTAAAGACTTCTACACTTATCTCCAACCACTTGCTTAAGGTTTGCTAATGTGCTTTACAAAAGTTGAACATTACTCAAACATAGTAATTAATTAAATATCAAATTTAATAAATAGTGGAATTTTATAATTTTTATATCGTAGTAATTATGTTATAAATACACATTAGGAAAATCGCAATTTTAATATATAAAACAGCAAATCATAGCTTTAAAATATAAATGTGAGTATGCGTGTACGTGTGAGTGCAAGCGTTTGTGTGTGTGTGTGTGTGTGTGTGTGTGTGTGTGTCAAATACTATAACTAATACTAGTTCTTTCCCCACAGATTATTCCATTCTCACGTGGATGAAGACAGATCAGATAGTCGAGCTTCACAATCAGACAGTCCGGCTGCCTCGCCAACACCCACACAGAGCGTCGCGACACACACAGACACAGAAACACGCACAGACACAGAAATACGCACAGAAACACACACAGAGACACAGAAGAATAGTAATAATAACGAACCAGAAGAATCAGTGAAACTCAGTCTACAAGAAGAAAACAGACAATTGAAAGAAGCTAGGATGTGCAAAGTTTGTATGGACAGTGAGGTGGGTACTTTGATATATATATACTCTGTACTTAAAAATTATAAATATATGTATATATTATGGCCTTGTTATAAGTAAAGTATTATGATTGGAATAGTATAATAGTCCTAATTAAAAAAAAATTAAGAAGAAATGTCCAAATGATCATTACTTAATTGATATATAGGAATCTGTAATGAGCAATCTCGCCAGCCGTAAATGATAATTATACAGGGTGACTGGTGAATTACTATCAATATTTAATGAAAATACTCGGTACATGATTATCATTCGAATTATGTAAAAAAAATAGGTACTTAATTTTTGACAAAATTTCCGTATAAATAAATAAAGTGTTGACACGTTCCAAGTGTTCCAAGTGTGGACGCGTGCGGCGGCGTGCTTATACAACACTACCGCGCCGCACGCGTATGTGTGTGTGAGTGTATACCTAATCTGTAGGGTGTTCACACGATGCGTAATTAATTACATAACTTTTGGTTAACTTTACTTAGAAGTTTATTAATATTTATGTCATATTAATTTTTATTTTGTCATATATGATCGTCAAATATCACGTCCTCAAGTATCGATAGTAATTCACCAGTCACCCTGTATAATAAAAGCAAATATTTGTCGGATTATATAAATTCTTCACAATCAGCTGATTCACATCATAGAGTGCCAAGAGCATTTCACTGTACGCCTCCATACTGGTTGACTGTAATGCAACATGCGCTAGATGGACGAAAAATTTAATACGGCAAATTATAGCTTCATATTAGAAAACGTGGGCAATAATTGTAAATTAAAAAAGCAATGATTTTAAATTTAAAAAAATCTCAATCGGTTGCAGTTAAAAATAAGACATCTTGATAGATGAGATTGTGATATCGTGTTTTTGAGATTTTAATGGAATTTGCTTTGCTTTTTTTGTCGTATTCCGGCAATAAACAAATAAATACGTATTAAATTTGATTCTTCTTAATTTAAGCGGAGAACATTTTTACTAACTATAAAATAACCCGAAATTCTCCACTTCCTCTACAAATCTAGATTACAATAATAAAACTACAAATTAGATATTTATTTTTACTACAATATAAATAAAGATATACATAGTTAATAAATAAACATAATCAATTTATTTAAAATAATACTTTTTAAAATATTATTTTTAGGATTATTATGAGTATTGTATTATTTTAAATCCTATCTGCCCGTGATCACAATTGTTGCAGAGTAACCTAAACGCTGGGAGTATGTAGTTTTTATAATAATAATATACTCAAAATAATCCGAATAATATTAGTATAATTTCAATTAGATCTCATAATGATTGTCTTTTGTTACAAGGTAAGCGTGGTATTTCTTCCGTGCGGCCATCTTGTGTCATGTGCGGGTTGTGGCGCAGCCCTGGGGGCGTGTCCCCTGTGTAGGGCTCCAGTGAAGGCTCTGGTCAGAGCCTACCTCGCTTAGTACAAGTATGGATTAAAATTCATTAAATTACATAACGTCGGGGATAATGCAAATCCGCGTAAGCATTAAGTTAGCATTGGATAATTCCGCGTATCTACATTGGAAGCAGATTATCAGAAGAAAGTTTGAGCTGAAATTTTATCTATATTAACGACTTTTAAGTTAATTTTTTCACAATTAGTAATAAATTAAACAGTAAATAATTATTAAATATAAAAAAAAATATCTTAAAAGTCGTTAATATAGATAATATTTCAGCCTAAACTTTCTTCTGATAATACGCGGATTTGCACTGTCCCCGACGATATATAATACATATGTACAAAATTTTCACTTGTATTATGTTTCATATATTGTTCAAAGATAATCCTTTACAAGTGTAGATAAACTAATCTATTGATTACTATCGTGTTGTCAGATTGTGTGAAATTTAAGTGAAGAGAATGTAATACAAAGTATAGAATTAATATATATATATATATATATTAATTCTATACTTTGTATTAATTAATATATATATTAGAAGTATAGAATTAATATATATATATATATATATATATATATATATATTAATTCTATACTTTGTATTAATTAATATACAGGGTGACTGGTGAATTACTATCAATATTTAAGGAGCATATTCGGTACATGATTCTCATTCGAATTATGTAAAAAAAATAGGTACTTAATTTTTGACCAAATTTCCGTGTAAATAAATAAAGTGTGTACACGTTCCAAGTGTTCCAAGTGTGGACGTGTGCGGCGGCGTGCTGATACAACACTACGCCGCCGCCGCGTCTGTGTGAGTGTGTGTGTATACCTAATCTGTAGGGTGTTCATACGATGCGTAATTAATTACATAACTTTTGGTTAACTTTACTTAGAAGTTTATTAATACATATTTATGTTATATTAATTTTTATTTTGTATATGATCGTCAAATATCACGTCCTCAAATATCGATAGTAATTCACCAGTCACCCTGTATATATTAGCAGTATATATATATATATATATATATATATATATATATATATATATATATATATATATATATATATATATATATATATATATATATATATATATATATATACTGCTAATATTATAAATGGGAAACAGTAAAATTGTTTACGTGTTTGTTACTCTATAACGTAAAATATACCGAGCATATTCTGATGAAACTTTTCATTGATGTAGCTCAAACATCAAAATAGGATATAGATTATAATATATCCCTCTATTACGTGTAATTTGCCTGAAACACTTGAAGCGGGTGTATGACATGAAGTTACGCGACACATACGATAGATGTCGCTGACCATTTATTACTTACTATTAATATATTTAATAAATATTATTCATATCTCAATGAACATAATACTGAAAACCAGTTTAACAAAAATGCGGATAAAGCCTAGTATATAATTAATTTTTATTTTACAGATTACCACCATTAAAATCGTCTGAATCAGCTTAATAGAGATTTAATTTGCATTTTAATATTAAATCTCACGATATAGCTGAATGTATGTAGTGAGGATTTAAATGACTTATATATGTATGTGGATTTATATAATGTCATACATATATGGAAATTCATTAGTGAGATCAGTAATTGTAGTATTGAAATTTCTTTGACTAGTTAACGGAATTGTATGGTGTTAGTTATAAGTAGTAATATTAGTATAATTATATATTTAACAATTCTGTAGTATCTAGCGGCTATAATTATTTTTCACGTTGCAATATAGAATGGTCTAAACGTAGTATAGCATAACATAAATAATGTAATAGCCGAAAATCTAAAGTTAGCCATTTAATTAATATTAGTAATATGTCCATTATAGATATGTGCTTGAAATAGTCAGTAAATTATCTGCTCTTTTGTCTTTCGATGGTTTGACAAATTGATTTAAACTATGTCCTACATAATGTGATGAATTTTAAATTCGTTTCTAATAGCCGAATCATTAAAACTTATATTAGCCAGTTAGTTAACTGTTTCATGGAATGGCTAAAGTAAGTTAATCAAAGCCGAAATATATTCAATGCTGTGTAGCTCCACTACTACTGTAAATTTTGTTAGTATTCTTTTAAAGGACACTTAAAATTATTATATTTATATTAAAATCATGATATTATAAAAAAATAAAAATAAACTTACAAATAATAGAATTTGGCTTAAAATGTTGAATTTAACTAATAAATAAATCTGCAGTATATAATATTTTAATTAAATATTATTTATCAACTTTACATAAAAATGAAATGGTGTGAACTATAAAATTGGTACTATGTGTTAAGATTATTTAAGAAATGATCTGATTTGGTTGGAAAATGTTGATATATTAAAAAATAGTGTTAAATTAATTAATTATCTAGGTTTGACCTAAAAAAATTAAGTTTGAAAATATAATGAATGAATGTTTCAAAACAAAAAAGGTTTTAGTCGACAAATATTCTTTAATATGCATGGAAGCTAAAAAGAATGTACTAAGAATTTGCGTTAGACATTTTGTTTATGTTTAAATTGATAAAGGTAATTTGAAACTTTAAAAGTATTTTACCGTATATGAGTAAAAAAATATTTTCAAAGTAAAAAAGGCGAGTAGGTCCATTAATAGTACCATTTTCTCTACATTTAATATTAAAATGAAAATTTTATGACAAACATTCATAAAATATTGTAAGAGAAATTGCTTTCAGTACATTATAAAATTATACCAAGAGGTAATTGCAACACTGATATTTAAAAAACATTGTTTTCATTAAAATTAAATTTCTTGAACACCTAAAGGTGTAACAATAATTATTTATTGATGTATGAAAAAAGAATTATAATATTATGTTTAGAATTATTATCAGTGGGATAATATAAAATGTGTATATTCAATCTTTAGCATGTAACTGTTATGTGATTTTAGGTTATGTAGTGAATTGTCTTTATTGTAATATTAAACGTTTGAATTAAATATACGAAGTAATTATAACATGTTTTATTTTGAATTCAATTTCCAAACGACATAAACGTAATCATATATTTTTTATATGGCAATACTTTAGGCTTTATTTTTAATGTATTGCCATTATTAATATTTATATGCTAATTGAAATAATTACGTCATTTTTCGAAATTCACCCACTTTTACTCTAAATAAAATTATTATGACTTAATATTTAATATGGTGTTTAAAACTTTTTTAATACAAATATAAATAACTAGATACTAGTTATAAATCAAATAATATACTTCATTCATTCTGATTAATATATAGAATTAAAATATTGCAATAATTCTGTACTTTTACTGTGTTAGACTTAAACCAATCTTGTTATTTCTATACATTCATCTTGAGTTCTTCAATTGGGACTATGATGTCATCTTTCCAGACTTTATATCAACATTAATTGGTTTGGAATTTCGTTGATTTAACTGGAACTATTCCGTTCTGTTAGTTATAAACTTGAGTGTAAGTAAACCGTTAGTCAGAGATCAAAGCTTTTTGGGCGGAAAGGTGAGGGGTTTTATTGGCGGCGCTCTCGTCTGGACAGGAATAGTCGTTAGTCGTGTAACTAAAATAGCGTAGACTGTGATCACGCATTTGGAAACGTATTAATATTAAACAAATTATATTTGGGTTGAAATTATATTGAAAATATCCGTCTGTCTAACATTTGGAATGTTCCAGAGTTTAATTCGTTGGCATAGAATGAATCTGATATAAATCATATCGTATCTGTTTTATTGGCAGTTAATAATGATTGGCGTGATTACGTTTTATGTAATTTAAATGATTTTATAAACTTTAAATTTATAGTCATCATTTTTGTTAGTAAACGATTTCTAACTTCGAATATAAAAAGAAGAGTGTTAGAAGTTTAACATCGATGTATGTGCATCTGTCTGTAGTGAAATTGCTCTCAAACATATCGATCGATTTCGGTACAATTTTTTTCATTTGATAGTCAGTTTTCTCGCAGTGGTTCTAAGCTAATTGGTTTTGGTACACCAATATAAGAATATCAGCTCATTGCCAATAGAGGTAAGGCATTTGTGAAATATACTCATAATCTATTAAGTGATTAACTCGTTTCAGTGAAATTGCTAAATGACAAATAGGTTATCTATGGGATATAAATTTTGTTATATTCCTACAGATTTTTCTTTTAAAAATATTTTTCTATGTTTAACAATTTAAACTTAGTAAACTTGAACATAAATAGTTAGGTTCAAAGTTACTCGAACATCATAATAAATCACTGTATGAGGTTAATGAGAGCAAAAAGCTATTTAATTTGCCTCATAAATGCATAATCAGTGACGGGATGCGATGTTATAGATATACAAAATGGAATTCCCTGTAATTTTTTAATTAAAAGTTAATTTAGTTATATATAATCTTTCGCTTTTAATAATGAAGTTTAAAATGGCGTCAATATCACTACATGTCGTCGTGTATTCTAACTTCAAGAATATTCCTTAATTGTAGTTGTAGTAATTGCTTATCTTGATTATAGTTTTCAAGTATAGATAACACGTGAAGTAGGCGTATAGAAATATTTTAGAAAATTTTCTTTTCCACTTAACTGGTTAATCATAACTTCGTAGAAACAACGAATGTATCGTTTATATGTACATTGTAATAGAATATAAGGAAACATGTTGAAATTGTGCTACGTAATAAAAAAACCGGAGCTAGATGGACGAGTATTTTCCTATAAATTATTTCTATTAAAATCTCATCAATATTATATACAAAGATATTGCTGATTGCTTTTTATGTGTTGTACCTAAGTTATTTTTATAATGGAGGGAATATATATATTTTTAATCTGTTTAATTTGTGTAAAATAGAAATTTAATTTTGACTTCAAGATTCAATAATAAATAACTTTTCTGTATTGTGATAAAATGTTTTCTAAGAATGGCGCTATATATAATAAAAAATATATAAAATCTCCCTTGTATTAGGATATTCTTGAGATATGTGATATTT